ATAATTGTTGAGCTTACTTCCATTTCGAGTGGAAGTGTTGGGTGAAGAGATTCGAAAGTCGGTTCCACCAAAAGACGACGGCGGATTCCTCATGACCAGCTGTCAATTGGCTCTACTGCAAAATTCATGCTGACGCTGTTTCCGAGGCAATCTCCTTCGATTCGAATCTCTTCACGCAACACTTCCACTCGAAATGGAAGTAAGCTCAACAATTATGAAACAAGAGACTCCTCGAAACGCAACTTTTGTTCGTATGCACAATTTCCTTCTGAATATTGTCACCCTTTTTCCCAAAAAGTTAAATAGTCGAGAAACAAGCAACGCAACAATGCGAGTCCGGCCAACTAGTCAAGTGGTCAGTGAATGAGGACGGACTCGAACTTGCAGTCCACTAACCGCGTACAAATAAAAGTGCATATTCATGGCTGATTGTACGTGTGCTCAAAGAACCAATGACCGTCATGCAAGCAGAAGATGTCGGCACAAAAAGGTGGGATGGCAACCAGACAGACTGGCCTAAAATGTAGCTGTTGTTCAAGTGAAATTTCCACAGCTTCGACACCGTCCCACGTCCTCAGACAACGGAGCTCGATCACTCGATGCGTGTGTGCAACAGACAGCCTCAAAAAGTGCAGCAACATTTCCGATAAAAAATTCCGCAAATCCATGAGTCTCGTTAGGTCTTCTGTACACGCGAGAATCTATCACCGCCACCGAGGGTGGGTGTTTTGAAAACCGGCAAACGCAGTCACTTTCCGCCTCACAGCCACCTCTTTGGCGTCTTTGCGTGACTCCGTGTGGGCTAATCAGTGGTACAAATGGCCAGTCTTATGTTGCAAAGGGCGAAACTATGACAATGCCGTGCAAATAGCATGAGTCAATGGGTGTATCTACGAGGAAAATATGGGGCTGTGGCGTGGCTTTTAATGTTAAAGGAATTCGTGAATTTCTCTCACCGGAAACCGAAGACTGTCGGGTTGTGCGAACAAGTCATCGGCTCGCCGTCCTGACCTACTTCGATGAATCTGTGCTAAACTCTTATTTAAAAGAAAAAAGCACCAAATACAATAAACCAAAAGAATAGTTTGATGTGAAGCTTTGCGTTTCGTAAGAAAGTACATGTTGTAGGTCGATTTCACCAGAAAAATCGGCTGATTTATGTTGTACCGCGGCCGTTTGGCATTCAACGACGTTCAGATTGATGCAGTCCACGAGACATCCTCACTCAAACGCTCGTCATGCGACATGTAAAAGCCTCAAGTTGACACCAAGACACAGCGAGATCCCTCAAGGTTGTCGCGTTGCTTGTTTCTCGACCCTTGACAATTTAGGAAGAAGGATGAAATTGTACAGCCTCCGATTGTTGGCTAACAAAGACAATAATTTAGTTGTCTTTTTTCACACTTTGTACAAAAAAGAATCTTTTCGGCATGACGAACGAAAGCTGAGCAGCCCATCTTCGCGCGAAACGTTGGTGCATGTCTCGTCGTTTGATGCCAAACGGACGCAGTACAACGCGAATCAGCTGACATCTGCTTCAACATGTACTTCCATACCAAATGAAAGAGTTCACATAAACTATTTTTTTGGTTTATCATATTTGGTGCGTTTTTTGTAATCGGGTTCATCGCGGTTTTGCTGCGCAGTGAGCCGTTTTGCTTCGGTTTCCGGTGGGACCGATTCACGAATGTCTTCTGAACGGCTTGGATTTCTAAAAGAAATCTCCTGTCAAAAGGGTAGACAAGAAAGAAGCTTTATCGTCAATTGTAAGCCCAACATGGAGGAGACCTTGTGGAACATGGGCATGCGAATAACATTGCTGTCGAGGTTTTCATTTCGTTTCATCTATCTTCTAGACTTGAGACCTTTGCAAGAATGATGTTTCACATTCATGCGAAATAAAAGTCTTGTCAACTTTTGGAAGAAGCCCAGTCCTGCGCCATCTGCCAGACAAGTTATGGCAAATTCCAGTACCGCACTGTCGACTTGGTACATTGTCACCAGACGTTTCACCGACGGCGCCATCCCCTTAGCATCAACTAATTGCCCGTCAAATTGATTAATGCTGCTCTGCTCTCGGAAAATAGACAAAAATGAATGCAAAACATGCCAGCCTGTAGTGCTGATAGTTG